TTTACACTGTGTTCCTTTGCAGCACTGATTTTCCTGGCCCTGATTTCCTAAGCAAAATTGCTTTGTTCTTGTTTTATGCAGGAAAACGCCTGTAATTTGTTTTTCTTTTCAATAAAACATGGAATTCACACTTCCTAACCCTAGGGTATTTGATATTTACATGGCATTTACCAAGAATTGTTCACTGCAAGAAGAAAAATCACTGAGCATAGAGGATGATCTAGCCTAGACATTTCATTTAAGTATATAAGAAGCTCAGGTTTGGTTTTAAAAAAAAAAACCCTAGAGTTCTTAACAAGTCAAGTTACATCATTAGCTGTACCATTTTACAAATAACATATGATGTATTATAATCCTACCTTTCCTATCATTACAAATAATGTATACACCATTTTTCTGTACAAGATAAATCCTTGAAAAGATAAATCCAATGATTGTGTCCATTAAGCATGCAAGAGATGTAGTTTATTTTAACAGTACTTATTTTCTGCACTGGCCATTCATTAAGTATTTTGAACAAAAAACCGACTTAGTATCTCTCACGTGCTGGCACTGGGCATCAATGACGTGAGTAGCCCTGGTTCATGGCCTTTCTGGAGCTTATGCTTCTGCAGAGGAAGTAGATGGAAAGTTAGAATCATACAAATGAACTAATTAATTGATAATTATGTTTGGAGCAAATTTGATCAAGTTAGGAACCCAAATAGAGTTTATCTCCTTTTTTTCCCTCTCTCATTAACTTTCCAATTGATATCTAATGAATATGTCAGTGTACATGTGGAATATTTAATAACTCCTGCTTAGCCCTATAAGAACTTTAACAGAAGCAATTTGAATGCCATACTGGGCAAACTAAAGCAAAGCCTTAAAAATAATTTTCCCCTAGAGATTTTTTCCTGGTGTCAACTTTAGTTTAAGGCAGAGGAATGAGGAAGCCAAAAGCTATAATTGGAAACTCTGGATTAATTGGCTATTTAGAATGTCCATGCACAACTCATTTGGCACTAAAAGAAATATTATTACTAGATTTTGAGAACGTAATCTTTCCTGTGCCAAATAACCTTTTGCCTAAAATATTTCATCATTAGATCTCAAGACCCTCTTCCTAGTCTCAGTCTTATCTCTGTTAATATCATTCAAAATCATTCTAAAGGGTGCTGCTCACAGCTTCCTGGATGCAGTTATTGTGACACGTGTCTTCCATCCTTATCCAGTAGAAATTGTATGCTGCCTGGGATGATTGATTTATTATTACCTTTGTACTTGACTATATCATTATTCATTATTTTCTTTGTCAAACAGACTCACACTCTTCTTCACATAATCACCCAGTCCTGTCTCTCAGTAAGCAAATTGGCAGATGGCTCCCAACATCTCACTGTGGAGACATGTAACGATAGTGTTTTGCAAAAATGGCTACTAAGAAACTATACACGAGCAGAAGTTTTTCGAAATATTTTTGGGAATCTCACTGATTACTTTCTCTAACGATCTGAGAGGTTTGTGTTGCAGAATTATTAAATTTAGTTTAGTATTTTGTTATGTTTGGTTATTGAAATCTGGAAACTTAAGAAAAAATTTTATGTGGTATTTCTCCGCGGAGGTTTTTTTTTTTTTTTTTCTGCGTTTTACTTCTTACCTACATTGAATGTGTTAGCTAGAGTTTAGTTTATTATTAACAAAAAGGTTTTTTCTACTTTATTGTTATTTCAAATGTATGTGTATATAAATACAATTGATGGAATATATTATGAAATTTCAGCTCTTTTTTTAGGCTATCTGTAGCCATATCTATACGACAATAGATTCCGCATCAGAACTGGAAAGAAATCAGCAAAAATAAAAACCTAACATTGCTAAAAATGGATTGTTTTTAGAACCTGGAAAATGTCAGTTTTGTTGTTTTATTCAGATGCTTTGGTTGTATGCAGACATAACATATTCTTATAAAATTTATAATTATTTTAATCTGAAACACAAAGCAAATGCATTATTAAAGACTAAACAATATGTAATTTTCAATAACTTTGTGAAGGAAATTATTTCTGAGCATTTCTTTGTGATTGGTTAGGTGACATAATTATAATAATAAAAACTATTTTAAAAATGGTACCATTTATCTCTCACTTGTATGATTTGTGACTATCTTCTCAGTAAGCAATAAAATGAATCATCATTCATTTCAACAAACTGGTATGGAATTCTTACAAACAGTGTAAATAAGCTTGTGTCCTAATTCTTGGTTTTAAGGGATTTCTTTTTCACTGAATAAGTGGTTTTATATTGTCCAAAACCTTATGGAGGTTTTCTGGGTCAGATGAACCAGATAAAGGTTGTCAGTTGGAGGACACAATTGAGCTTGGGATACTTGTGATATTGGTGAGAATTGAATCCTGGAGAGTGGAGGGCAGCAAGAGTATTTTTTAGATTAGAACTACATTTGAGCCAAGGACGTTCTGAATGTGTTGAAAAAGTTGGAATAGTACAGACCTTTTGCAATGCAACTTGAATAGAAGGCATCTTATAGATATTATATTTGCTTCAAAGCAACCACATATGGTATGTATAATGCCTACAAGGAGTTTTGGCTCACCTAAACATTAATCTTGCAAGTCTATCATAGAATTCTAGGGGAGAGACCACAGCTTCCTTCTCTCAACAGGGACTTGTAGTAGTTACCACCATAGTTCTTACAGCCTTTTGGAAGCCAGCGTCCACACAGGTGACAGCTTGGTACAAGGTTTATGGGATGAATACTAGATGTATAAACCAACTCACTTAATACCCTTATTCTCTTAGGAGATCATACCTCTCTGGTAACAATCCCATCAGCACTTGCAGAAGCCCACACTTTGACTTCCTATCCGCTATCCATAGGCAGTTTTTCAGATGCAGATGGAGCTTTTCAATCAAAGGTCGTTTCTACCATAAACCATGTTGCCTGGAAACACAGTTAACAATTTTACTTTTAATTTGGTTGCCAAGGGGTCAGTTAGTTGACTGAAGGTCAGTTATTTTAAACAGAAGGGAAAATGCTCATTAAATATAACTTAGTTTTTGTTTTGTTTTTTTCCTGACAATCTGATACTTCAGAATGATTTGGTAGCTTGCCCAATGTTCACAGCTAGTACATAGGGGAAGAGAAATTCACAAGTTAGGTCTATCCAAGCCTAAAATGTCTGGTTTTCTACTGTACTATATTTAAGAGGAGAGTTTTTTGGTTGACTCTTTGTTATCTTTGAAGCAAGAGGTTTTGACTATTAATAGTTTTTCAAAGGAAATATTGATGCATTTTTTAGGAAGAACAATTTTTTTGATTGTCATTATATGTGTCATTGACAACTTATTCAATGTAATATTAATAGAGAAAATTCTATCTTTGTTGTATCATAACCCAAGTAACTGATAATTGATCAAATCATTCAGCTATTGTAACATATAATCAGATTAGAAAAAAGTAGTGACAGTACTTCCTGGTACAGCTTGATTGGCAGAACTATACTGGATAGATATAAAAATCATACTTTTTTTTTAAGAATCTAATACAGGCATGCAATGGTAAGTGATTTTGTTTTTTGAAAGAGAATGCATACATGTATGAACTCAGGATTATAACAAATGATGGATTTTTTTTGTTGGTTTTAGCTAGAATGTTTTAGGAAAAATATTGCCTTTGTTTACCTTTGTATCTTTTTTTAAATTCTAAACTAGCAGGTAGTTGAAGTTTCTTGGTATCATAAGAATAAATCATGCATCTTCTTGCTTGTCTTTAGCAATTTCTTTTCCTTCATTGTTTACTATAAATGATTTGATTCCATATTTAAAAAGAAAAAAAGCAGCAGCAAAGGCCTCAATCTTGAAATCTCCTTCACTTGGCATAACCTTGTTCTTTCAATTTCCTGACCGCTGTGTGTTGGGCACCTTCCTCCAAAGCCTGTCCTCCATTCCATCCTAACACACAACAGTGCAGTTGAGAGTGTTTTAGGGCCTCACCCGAACAGATTGCAACTGCCCGGCTGGTGTTGCTCTGCTATTTTTATCACATGTCACCATTCATTTTCAAGCAGGTTTCAATGTAGTATCAAGAGCCAAAAAAGAAAATAAGAAGAAAGTATTTTGTCTATTTTTAATTTTGGCAATTTGCAATAAAAAATATCTGGGGTACTATTTCAAAAGAGACCTGAAAATCACCTCACTCACATTCAAACACTTCTGGCTGGGCATTTGTTTCTGTAACATGGTTCTAGGTATTGCCCATGAAGATAAGTAAAACTATATATAATTAGCATACAGAAAGTAAATGAGAAATCCAGAGAAAAGATGTGCAATGATTGGTTAACATGATATCATCACTAAATTTAGGAAGGAAATAAAATATAACATTTAGAAATATATGATCAACATGCTTCTGTTTTTGTTTGATACTGATCTATTTAAGATTCTTAACAAATGCAGATCAAAATACAGTGAGCATACTATCAAGTAAAAGAGATCGGTTGTAACTTATAATCACTTCTACAGTGAATATCTCACATGCTACAGTTTAGCATTTTTAAAGTGGTAATATCTCTAGCAGTTGTGTTCATCTGGGTCACAGCTGTGACAACTATTTGTATGTTTACCAAGTGTTTACTAAAGAACATATGTGTATGAAAACTAAGGTTTTGCAAAAACTCGTTAATATTTGCAGCCCTTAAGTGTACCCAATGCTCAAAAATGGCCTTTTTGCAAAGAAGTCTGAATTCTTAACAACTCATCATAAATATTGGCCAATTTCTTCAAGCACCTGCAAATAACAGTGTATAGTACAATGGTCAATCCATAACAGTCAAAGTTACTTAATTAATTCAGAGACACTTGCACACAGCTCCTTTTGTAATCACCTCACAGTGTAATACACTAAAAAACATAAAGGATTTTTCAAAGAGCAGATTTAATGTGGTGTGCTACTAAAGGTAAAGATGAAACAGGTTGCACTGACGATTGGTTATCTTTTACAGAGACTCACCTTGAGACATGTGAACAGTAACCAATGTCTCGATGAACCTTCTGAAGAAGACAAAATGGTGCCTACCATGCAGGACTGTAGTGGAAGCAGATCACAACAATGGCTGCTAAGGAACATGACCTTGGGGGCCTGACGACCATTTTCCCCAAGCCATCAAAATGTCTACACTTCTGTTTTTTTATTATTTCAACTAGGGGGAATATTAAGTTGGCTAAATTTGAAGTTTTAAAAATCCTTTTAGTATTCTAAAACATAGTTGTTTATTATTCATTTTTAGGAATGTTTGATTACTTCCCTACTAAAATTTATATCTGATTGAGGAAATACATACAAATATAATAATAGCAAATGTTAGGAAACATTGGAACAATTTGAAAATCAATTTGTGTTTGCTATAAAAAAATCTTTATTGTCCTCATGTCACAGGATTATTAGGGGTTTATTTTATTTGTTTCCATAGTGACTGAAAAAGAGATAATGTAATGCCTTATAAAATATCTTCATTATTAAATGTCAATTGCTTTATAAGCTCACTCTTTCTATTGGAGTTTCATGGAAACATTTTGAATTTCTATGCCAACAATATGAACACATATTAAATTATTTACTAGCATTGTACAAAATGTTTGGTTCAACATTTGTAGCAGGAAAATATTAAATTGGATATTGAATTCAGAGTCTTTATATAAACACCACATTTAAATGGAAAAGAAAATGAAATTTTACTTTAAATAATAAGCTTAAATTCAAATTTTTATTAAGAAAGCAGCCACACGTTGAGAGAACAAGGTGGAGCTAACTGCAGCAATCTCACTAAGAGATGCTTTGGCTGGGTGGCAGTCACTCCTAACACAGGCTGAAGACAAACAATCCTGCTCCCAGAGTTGATGTCAGAAACTGAATCCTTACTCACTGTCCTTGTCTCCATAAAGTATATTGTACCTTTTCTCTTTATTCTAGAGGTTTGTCACATATGCTATATAGAGTTGTAGGTGAAGGATAAAGTTTTGAAACTAACTTGTAATTCTTTCACCTTTAGAGATTTTACTTCATTCACTATTGTCATTTGAATTTGTATTTTTGAAAAGAATATATTAGTATCAGACTATATTATATAATAGCTAACATTTTCTTCACCAGGGGAGTGAACTCAATACACATTCATTAAACTTTTATTTATAATTAAACTGCTAGTCATCATTTGTCATACATTATGGCCTAAGGAATGCAGTCATTAGTTTGCTCAGTTCATGTGTTCTATCTTAAAATGCTCTGTGTTCAAAATATACAAAGCAGAAGACATGAAAGGCAAGAAATGTCTACCAGTGCAGTTTTTACTGATAAGTTTTTAAATATGACACCATTTTAAATGGTGATAAAGTTGCTCTACATATATGTATTATGTTTATAAATCTACTCAGAAACTAAGAGAAATTTGGGGTGGGGTAAATGGAACAAGAGTCCTCTGGAGCAGAGGATTCCATTTATTTTGGCTCTCATCTTTAATGTAAAAGCTCTTATAGAAAGTATTACTCAATTTGCCGAAATCTCTCTCTCTCTCTTTCACACAAACACGTATTCTGCTTTATAATGAAAATAAAACAACTTTCTGAAAGTAAAAAGTAAAATTTGGAATTATTTTCCCAAATGACATTCCTTCCACTTTTGACCCTATATTGGTACAATTCTGGAAAAGAATTCTACACTGTAAACATTTCATCTTTTCTCCTTCCAATGTACACTTTGTCCACTCTGATTTCACTAGGTATCCCTGAACTCCTAAAATTATGGGCATGTTTTCTGAGGATAGACTGTAGTTTCAGCCAACTTGAAAGAGAAGGTGTGACTCTGAGGAGGGAGTGAATCACAACCTTAAATTGATCATGGTCTCTAGAGTCAACTGAGGCCTAATGACAATCCCATTTTTCATTTTCATTCTTTTCATTCCCTCATTTCCTTTTGTCCTGAAAAAAATAAGGTGTAATGTTCCTACATTACACTTAAACTTAAAAGGCTTAAACAGCCAAGGATTTTGTTTCAACGAATGTCGCACTCATTTCCGATTTATCATTCAAAATGCACGTATCTAGAGGATGGCCAATGACAAATTTAAAATATATACCTACTTCATGGAAGCTGAGTTTGAAGCTTTTCAGCAGCATTTTAAATAACTGAAAGTTCATTGTGTTGTAGTGAAAATACAGGAAAACCTAGAACTGCATGATTTTCATGCTAAAGATTTTACAAGACTCTTCAGATGGTTTAGACACATACCATTACAGTACCTAACAAATAAAGACATTATAAAATATTATAAGCATTCCAAACCAGAAAGTAATAAGTAACTTTCATTTTTTTCAAGTCTTTGCCTTAAATATTAAAAATATGCTCATAATGCATTCAGAGCTGGACTAATAGATATTTTACATTATTTTACATTTCCATTTTGTTTGGTCTTTCTCATGTGAACTAATGTAACATTAACCTTCCCGCTGCTCAAACCAACAGTCTAAAGTCAAAAGTCAAGTTTGACTTCTTTCTTTTTCTCTCAACTTTCTTGTAATTCACCATCAAATTCCTTTGTTGCTATCTTTGAAATGTAGACAGAATCCAATAATGTACTACCACATTCACTCTATATCCCTAATTTTAACTTTTAATGTGCAATATGCTTATAATTTGGCCCCCACTTTTGCCAATTCTTGTTCCATATAGTCTTTTTTCAATACAACAACTGTGATGTTTCTATTAAATATGATTTTGATTGTCATTTCTTTGGTCATAATCTTCTATTGAATTTTCATCTCAATCTGCTGGCATTCAAGGTCCTTCATGATGACACCCCTCTGGACACAGACACAGACACAGACACACACAAACACACACACACGCACACGCACACACACACACACAAACGCACACGCACACACACACACACTGTATTTCTTACCTCTTATCGTTCTGCCTCCCAAGCAAGTTTCTGCTTTAGTGTTTTGTTCCTTTTGCCCCACAGAGATCTCTCACTCTTTTGCTTCCATCTCTATTTAAACATTGCTCCATCAGCAAAGCAAACTGTTGTCCTGTCTACCTTCCTGCCACACCCTATATCTCTGAAAAATTCTGTTTACTTCAACCTCTACAGCCCCACACATCCTAGAATAAAAGTCTTATTTATTTATCTATTTATTTATTTATTTATTTTGCTGATAGGGAGCAAACCCAGGGCCTCAGATATGCTACATAAGCACTCTACCACTGAGCCGCACCCCGGTCTTTTTTAAGGCAGGGTCTCTCTCAGTTTCATCCACTACATATTCTCAGCAACTCATACAGTTCTTGGCACAATATTAAGTACATTTCAAATATTTCTTGAATTAGTGAACTGAGAAGTATGTATTAAATTTGCTAAGTTCTACTATATCATAATTTTTGTACTTAAAATGTTAAATTCCATAATATATTTATACAGGATATGCATAACTTTGTCTCCAAATGATAATTTTCTTCCTACTATCCTTCATGTTAAAGTATGGACTATATGTTTTCTCTCTGGTAAAATATCCTGCCTTATGGAAATGAAATTTTATATTTTATTTTAAAATGCTGCTATATTACATAAGTTGTTTCACTAAGCTAAAACTAATTTAACGTTTAAGTTTTTGGTTCTGTTCGATGACCACCTAAATATCTAAGATTTTGACATTTAAGGGGGAAATATGTACTCTCTTTAAAAATTATATGTATTTTCATGGTGTCATAGTAGCTACTATAAAATTTATTTTCTAACTGCAAGTATATGAGAAAAAGAAATTTATAGCAACCTCAAAAAACATTAAAGATGGTATGTCCTCAATTTCTCTGTTTATAGATAAGATTGAACCCCAGATATGTGATGTAGGTTGACCAAGATTCACACAGCTAAGAGCAGTGTTTCTAAGACTCTTCCTAATACTGTTCTGCAAAAATATTACAGAAAGAGCATAATAATGAAAAATTGTCTTCCTTAAAATTATTTTTCAAACTTAAATAAAATTAATTGTATAAAATAATATCACAGGCAATAACTAAAAACCCCCAGCAAAAATAAAGATATTACCTGCAAACAGCGTGATTGTAAAATAGAACATCTTCTCATCACTGGATAAACTGGATTTCAGGGAAGAAAAACAATGCCTCTTCAGTAGAAACTTTGGGAACACAGACTCTTCCATTTCCTTTGTAATGATGTTCAAGTTAATGTAAGGTTGGCCTAGAGCTTGCACAGAGTATTAGGTCATTTATTATTGTGAACATTGGGTAAGTTTGATACTATGTAGCTTTAAGGACTGCAGGGTAATCAGCAGACATTTCTGGGCTTCCCAGTGTAGCTCTGTAGACTCTAAAACAGTCCATAAATTTGATTTTTTCCTTGGTTCTTAGAAACAGCCTAATAAATAAAAATAACAAATGCTTTAAGGAAGAGAAAAATATACTACAACAATAAAATAACAGGACTGATTTTTAACTTTTGTTAAATTTGGTGGGAAGTTAGTTGTATGAATTGATTCAGTAAACTTCAAAATATTGACTTCCCTCTGACATTGTTTTCACCATCTGAGAAATGACGATCATGTACAGTCACAGACTTTTCTTGCATATCATCTATGAACACTAAATCAAGTCTTAGAGGAGGCAAAGCTTTTATGTATTCTTAAGTTGAAAAGTATACTGATTTCACAAATATGAAGAATTTAAGAAATCCAAGATCACAATGGATATGTCATCATCCACATCCACAAGCTGTCATTCTGATCAAGGATATCTTCGAAACTTTAAAAATTTCCAATTTAGTTGGACAGCAGAAGTTCAATTGTCTCAAGGCAGCTTGTGTCCCAGGATTTAGTTGTCGAGTCTTTCCTCCAACATGTCAAAAATTTGGAGTAGACAAGATCAAGCACTGTTCTATACAGCACAGGATGCATCTGATTTGATTACATCATGGTCACACTGCTATTAGGTATAAGCTATTGTAAGAATTTAAGGTGTTGAATGAGCACCAGCTATGTGTTTTAAATACTTTGTGTAAAGTTGTATCCAACTTTTGTTTTATACTGTTCAATAAATTCTGAAGGAAATTTTCATTGTATTTGTTTT